CTTTCTATGGGAAAGTAACTTGCTGAGTAGGTTGCTGGAGACTGGATGCCTAGAGAAACTAGGCCAGCCACATAATCATCACAGTGGTCTGCAGACTAGGTGTGCTTTTAAAAATCGTTTTCTCTCTTATGCTTTGTTCTTACAGCTAAAATTAATAAGTTATTTGATTCTAAGAAAGTTGCCTGGTCACAGACTCTCAAAGTAAAGAAGAGCAGAAGCTGAAATCAGTCAGACCTGCTAAGTTAAAACAGGTGACACACAGGATACAGTATCTGAGGCTCCAGTCTAAAAGTGGGAGAACTGCATCTGCATGACACTACTCCAGGGAGGAAGCAGGAGGCCTGACACATGAGGAGGTGATTATATGTGGAAGTAGACTCGGAGAACCACAAAGTGGGAAGAGGAGCAGCTAGACCTGCAATGGACCACAAAGCATAAAAATGGGATTCATTTTTTTTTTGCTCTGCATTCCATTCCCTGTCAAGACTTATCACATTTCACACCTGATGGGAGACTACAAAGTATAACTGCATATCCTAAGGGTTTAAATGGTGTGTGTCAGGAGCAGAAGGTGCTATAGAATCAAGGGGTATTTTTATCTGAACAGGATGCTCATTTCTACACTGCTGGATTGTCCTGCACAACCATAGAAGAGATATAAAGAAGCAAATAAATAGAAGTCTCCTGGGGTACTCTAAAGAGGAGTTCAGAAGAGATGGCCTAAATTTCATGGGACTGTGCTCTGTTTTCTCAAGGATTTTCATGGTTTTCAAGCTGTACCTCCTTTGACTTCTGAAAGGCTTTTCTTCTGAGCTTAGAAAACTGAGTTTCCTTTTTGAGGCACTCCTTGTTTGTTTGTTTTTAAGTAGTTTTCTTTTTCACTACTGTTTTCATTAGAGAGGAATCATCAAGGATATATAGAACATTACTGAGAAAGTTGTTTTTTTTTCCTAATATCCAACCTAAACCTCCCTTGCTGCAAGTTGAGACCATTGCTCCTTGTTCTGTCATCTGTCACCACTGAGAACAGTCTAGTTCCATCCTCTTTGGAACCACCCTTCAGGTAGTTGAAGGCTGCTATCAAATCCCCTCTGTCTTCTTTTATGCAAACTAAATATGCCCAGTTCCTTCAGCCTCTCTTCATAAGTCATGTGCCCCCCTAACCATTTTTGTTGCTCTCTGCTGGACTCTCTCCAACTTGTCCACATCCTTTCTATAGTAGGGGATTCAAAACTGGACACAGTACTGCAGATGTGGCTTCACCAGTGAAGAATAGAGTAGAATAATTACTTCCCTCAATCTGCTGGCATTACTCCTACTAATGCAGCCCAGTACGCTGTTAACCTTCTTGGCAACAAGGGTACGCTGCTGACTCATATCCATCTTATTGTCCATTGTAAACCCTAGGTCCTTTTCTGCAGAGCTTCTGCTTAACTAGTCAGTTCCCATGCTGTAGCAGTCCATCGGATTTTTCTGTCCTAAGTGCAGGACTTTGCACTTGTCCTTGTTGAACCTCACAAAATTTCTTTTGGCCCAGTCCTCCAATTTGTCTAAGTCACTCTGAATCCTAGCCCTACCCTGCAGTGTATCTACTATACCCCCAGCTTGGTGTCATCTGCAAACTTGCTGAGGTTACAATCCATCCCATCTTCTAGATCGTTATTGAAGATGTTGAACAAAACCAGCCCCTGGACCAACCCCTGGGACACTCCACTTGAGTACCAGATTGTCACAGAGTCACTGGGCCTGCTCCTAAAGAGGGGAAACTGCTGGGGAAAGAGCCCTAGCAGTGAGTAAAGAGCACAGCTGTTGGTTACCAGGGGCAACTGGAGCTACCAAGCGATCACACCTGCCAGCGGTCAGCTGACTGAAAGGGGCAAGGCCTGGCTCCCTTATAAACTGTAGGGGCTGAGGCCAGAGGAGTTCCCTGCCAGCAGCTAGAGAGGAAGTAGCTCTCTCTGAGCAAAGCTGTGAGGAGAGGCCTGACCGCAGGTACAGCCGAAGCCGGGTAAAGGATGGTGCATCCCTGGAGTGTTTGAGTAATGTGGTTTTAGCTGGGTGGCTTTAAGTTTTGTTATAGCTGAGGGGGCTTGTGGTTGTGTTGCTGTTTAAAGACCGGTGGCTTGGGTGAGGCTATTAGGGGTTGGAGGAGGCCTCATAGGGGACCCACAGCAGTGTGGGGACCCCAGTGCCATTGAGGGCATAGCAGTCAGGATGCACTGACCCCAGCCTCAGAGAGAGGGAGCAGCATTGTTGAGAAGCCCCAGAGAGAGGGGGGGCAGTGCAAGACAGGGCCCAGAGAGGACAAGGGGGCTGAATTATAACAGGGCCCAGACAGAACAACGTCTATTCCATCTGCAAGGCTTGAGGTGTGGTAAAGGGGTGGTTGGAGCCACACATAGCCCATAAGGCTAGGGTGCCCCAAAACACCCACTATAGAATGGGGCCCACAAAGGGGTCCAGGAGCCCATGTGGCTTGGAGCACATCTAAACCGTGTCCAAGAAGACATGAAGGCAGCCTCCCTAATATAGTTGAACACCAAGACGTGGTGGACGAGAATTTGAGGGTGCCCTTGGGCCAACTTGGCATGGGAAGGGGGCCTTGAGGAGATCACGGCCCTCCTGCAGGACCCCGTGCCATGACACAGATGCCAACCAGACGTTGAGCCATTGATTACTACCCATTAAGCCTGACAGTCCAGCCAGGTTTCTATCCACCTTACAGTCCATTCATCCAACCCATACTTCCTCAGCTTGCTTGCAAGAATGCTGTGGGAGAGGGTATCAAAAGCCTTGGTAATGTCAAGGTATACCACATCCACTGCTTTGCCCGCATCCATAGAGCCAGTTATCTCATCATAGAAGGTAGTCAGGCATGACTTGCCCTTGATGAATCCATGCTGACTGTTTCTAATCACTACCTTCTCCTCCATGTGCTCAGAAGTGGATTCTTTGAAGACCTGCTCCATTATTTTTCCAAGAACTGAGATGAGGCTGACTGGTCTGCAATTCCCAGAATCCTTCTTTTTCTCTTTCTTAAAGATGGGCACTATATTTGCCCTTTTCCAATCATTCAGGACCACCCCCAATTACCATGACTTTTCAAAGATAATAGCCAGCAGCTCTGCAATTGCATCAGTCAACTCCCTCAGCACCCTCAGATGCACTGCATCTGTCCCCATGGACTTGTACATGGACTTGTACACATCCAGTTTTTGTAAATAGTCCCTAACTTTTCTTTCATGATTGGGGGTTGCTTACCTTGTCCTTAAACTGTGCTGCCCAGTACAGTAATCTAGGAGCTGACCTTGCCTGTCAAGACTGAGGTAAAAAAGGCATTGAGTACTTCAGCCTTTTCCTCACCTGCCACTAGGTTGCCTCCTCCATTCAGTAAGGGACCCACATTTTCCCTGACCTTCCTCTTGTTGCTAATATACTTGTAAAATATTCTTGTTAGCCTTGCTAGCTGCAATTCCAATTGTGCTTGAGCCTTCCTGACTTCATCCCTGCATGCCCAAGCAATAGTCTTATACTCTTCCCAAGCTCCGTGCATTCATGTACAGACTCCTGAGGTGACTAGCTGATTGCCCTACTTTCTCAGGAAGAATGAGGCCTCCCTTGCTGTCTCTTCCTGCTTCTGGTTCCTCAGGTTCCCCACTTACCTCAAGGTTTTGTTCTCCATTCCCTGGCAAACCCAATTTAAAGCCCTCTTCACTAGGGTTCTAATAGTACAATAGACCCATATAACTTGTACTGATTGATTCACAACCCACTTAATTCACAACAGGTGGATGAATTAAGGATGAACCATTCAGCTGTTTGCTGAAGCTTTTACTTCAAAGAGTGCCACTTCTCTGATCAACTGGAGAAACTTAGGAATATAGTTCTGTGAGGTATCCAGGTTCTGTTATAACAAACTTTGTCATTACAGTGAAAAGTACTAAACTAGACTTTTACTAATAATTATCCATAAGTTAGAGTTGTGCGATGTGCTAAACACAAGCCAAGAGAATGACATTACAATGAGGAGAGAGAACGGACTAAATCAACTCCAGTCTCCAAAATGTGAGAAAGTAGGAGAAAATCTAATTGAAATATTTATCTGAACTGATTAAATGTATTTAAAGACATCGCGAGGAAAAAACTTTTTAACCCAACAGAAAGGAAAAGGATGGCAGAGACAGCTTAGTTAGCAAATTGCCCAGTGTTGAAAACGAACAAGAAGAACAAGTGGACACAGGAGATAAAACATATGGTAATGTTCTGTTCTGGACAGATTTAAAGGTCTGGTGTCTTTCACTTCATTTCAGAAATACTTGTCTGTTTTTCTGAGGCATATGGAGTGTTTTCTCAGGTGGCATCTTGCTGTTGCTTTTGATATGTAGGCTGCTGGAGTCTGTGTGTTCTGAAAGGCTGACACTAGCAAGCAGTCTTCTGGATGCCAGGCAATCCAGAAAAAAAACAAATCAAATCTGTGTTCATTGTTGAAAACTCAGAAAGGTATATTGTCCTTAGGCAGCACTTCAGTTGGTATGATTAATGGTCAGTCACAGCCAGCATTAGGGAAAATGATACCTGGGCAAAGTTGTATTTTGTTGTTTGTCCTCCTAACCCCTGCCCATTTCACAAATTAAGATGTCATCTCAAAGTTCTTTAATTTACTAAAAAAAATACAAAAGAGAAAATGACGCACAATTCAATTAAATTTAATTCTATTCAAATAAATGGTACAAGTCTTAAAAAATAACTTTGTAGCTGTGACAAACTAAATTTTAAATTAAACACTAAAGTTATAAATAATAATAATAAAAAAAAAAAAAGGTTCACCAAGATTCCAAGACTCAGAAGATGACTCTGCATGCCTTTGCTGCCACAAATTCTGATATTGCTTGTGCCACAGCATTCTTAATAGACAGGATAGCTAGCAAAGATAGCCTGTCATCTCCTATGGTTAATTGCAAATATGTTTGTATGAGCTTTAAAGTCAAGAAGCTCCATTTGCTGCTCACCACCAATAGGGCTATGGTTAGCAGGATCTTGAGTATTATCCATATGTTTCAGAAGTTGTCATGAAGTTCATTGTCGTAAAGAAATTGTAGAACTTCTTGAGGAGCACTACAGTGCATTGGAAGTAAATTTTGGAGATAGCCGAGTTCTTTGCAGAGGAGATTTTTCCATATGTCAATGCACAATGAAGGTACTTACTGTGCTTCTTCATAGTTCTTTTGTCAGGAAGTTGTGTCATGTTATATAGAAAGTCTCAAAGGGTCACATGTTGATTCATTTGCTCCAAACATTCTTCCATGGACACTTTCACTGTCTATATGCCAGTTGAAAATTTCAAGTTTGAACTTGACTTCTGGACTGTTACCCGTTTCATCCTCACATTCATAGCTGAACTGACACTTTTTTTTTATGATGAACACATGGGGCTGGTTTAAAGGCTAGATCAACACCAAGATTATGCAAGTATCCTGTTTTACCGTTTGCTCTGCTTTGACCCACATTTAGCAGGAACTGAAATGACTAGGTGACTTATCATGATGCACAAGAATCTGAAACATATATGCTTCCAATCATTCAACAACTCAAATGCTAGGGATGATTTTGGATTCAAGTCAAAGAGCTTGCAGCAGAAACGTAAAACCTGGTCAGTGGAGCATGAGTAAAGCAACCAGTGACACTTCAGAACTCTGCCATTTTCACAATTTCTGTATAAAAATGTCATAGAAAAATGGTAAATCTGATCATCCAGAAGGAAATCCATGTCCTTTACTTTTGATGGACCATTGGTCACTGCCAGATCTTGAATTTTGGGCATTAGATTGGGCCATAAAACAGGGGGGCTGAACTTGATGATCTCACAAGGTCCATTCCAGCTCTAATCTTCTGTGAATCTGTGTGTGTAAATGGCATCATCAACACCTACAAAGGGAATCATTTAATCTCTATCACTAGTGGCATTGTCATTGTTCTGGTTTGGATGAAGAATTTCTGTTTCACTTGGGTCTCTGTTTCTCTTGCAATGATTCTTGAAAGCTGAATTGTGGTTCATCACCAAGGGAAGTGGTGATGGCTCCTACCCTGGGGGTCTCTAAGAGGAGGCTTGATGTCTACCGGGCTGGGGTCATTTGAGCCTGGTTTTCTCTCCTGCCCAGGGCAGGGGGTCAGACTTGATGATCTACAAGGTCCCTTCTGACCCTTCTTCTATGAATCTATTCATTTTCCATCTGATGTCTCCACTATGATGTCTCTCACTACTACTGCATGGGTTGTAATGAGAAAAATATCTGAAATCTGTTAATGACATCTGCATCTATGTTCATTACAGTCACTAACTGAGCTTTTCATTTCCTGTTCTGCATGCCTGACATCTTATTAGGCATTTGCAACATTGTATTTCCTTCTAGTTTCACAGGTTGCAGTGGTGGGAGCATGGAACTGGGTGGGTGGAGAGGCATGAGGCTGTGCTTTCCCTATGCAGGGCCCTTGTATGAGAGATAATAGAACTGTCAATTAATAGAAGGATGGGAATACAAGTATTGCAAGTGACAGCACTGGCAGCAGCATTGGCCAGGGCTCTAGGGCTCAGCCAGAGCTGCTGCCACTGCATCAGCTATTACTGGGCTGGCCCGAGAAACCATGTGCCCTGTGCCTTGGCTCTGGCCTCACTCCAGACCATGCTGGAGCTCAAGGTTAAGCAGATGGTGAGGCAGAAAGGGGGCAACACCAAGGGGTCATGCACCTTGGGGTTCAAGTAGGAGGGAGGAAAACAGCAGGGCAGCAAGAGGTAGGAGTTAGACCAAGAGTGGACAAAATACAGCCCATGGGCTGGATCTGGCCCATGGGGCCATTTTTTCCAGCCTGCGGGGCCCCTAAAAAAATTTTTTTTTAATCGATATTTATCTTCCCCTGGCTCCTGTTAAGGATGACAGGAGCCAGGGGCAGTAGGCCCCAGGGGAAGCCATGGCAGGTGCATGGAACAGGAAGGCCACCCCAGCCCCTGCCTACCAGAGGCTTCTGGCCTGAGACCGTGGTGCTGTTCATGCCTGCACTGGTGCAGGAAATTCAGGTAAGAATGTGGGACCATGGGGATCACCCCAGTCCTCAGGGCTGGACCAGGCCAGCTCCTGCTGAGTCCTGTGGTGCAGCCACACAGCTCGAAGCGAGCAGGCACACGGGAGCCAGTGACATCTGGGATCCTTTCACCCAGGCAGGCAAGCGCAGGGTGCACAGAGTGAGGGCTGCATGTACTGGTCCCCGCCTGTACCCTGGGACTGAGACGGGGCCACTGGGGGTGAGCAGATGCATAGGAGCCAGTGACAGCCAGATGGGAGCACAGGGCCTGCACCAGTGCCCTGGAACCAGCACCAGCAGGGCCCAAGATAAGGCAGCAAGAGTACAGGCTGGCAGGGCTCTATGGATCTGGGCTGGGCTGTACCAGCAGGGAAAAGGAGGAGCCTGCCTGGCTAAAAGCCTGAAGAAGCGGAGGAAATGGAGCAGAAGTTAGATCACATGCCTGAGGCTTGGGGCAGCAATGGCCCAGCTTCCCTCCCCTGCCACAGGAGGTCCCAGAGGGCACTACCACCCTGGCAGGGAGGATCAGTCCCCACCCCCTGCACCACAGGGACCTGGCGGCTTGCTGGCAGCTCACCCCCTGGCCCCAGGATGGAAAGGGAGACTCCGCCAGGAGCAGAAGGAGGCCTGCAGATGCTTTTGTGCTCCTGAGGCCACCACAAGCCCAGGGGCAGCTGGGGAAGCTCCTGTCCAGCCCTGCAGTCAACACAGAGGGGGCACCTGGGGCTGCTACAGGGTGGCATGAGCCGGTGGGGACCCAGCCCTGGGCACTGGAAGCCTGGCAAGGCCAAAGGAGCACAGAAGTGGTCATGGGCCCAATCCTGCTTCTGGAGGAGCCTCTCTGCCTGTCCTAGGACCAGGAGCTGAGCTGCCATCAGGCCGCCAGGCCCCTATGGTAAGAGGGGTCCAGACCTTCCCCCTGGGCAGCGGCACCCTCCAAGGCCTCCTGTGAGGAGGAGCAGATGGGCTGTTGCTGCCCCAAGCCGTAGGCATGTGATTTAACTTCCACGCCACCTCCCTGTGCCACATCCCCACTGGCTCATGCCACCACCAGCAGCCCTGGTTATTCCCCAGCACTGCCCTGGGGGCCAGACAAGCCCTTCCCTGGTGGCCCCCCGCCCTCCTGGCAGTGACATGAGCCTCTAGGATGCAAAAATGGCTATGAGGCTTGGAGCAGCAAGATCCCAGCTTCTCCTTTCCCCCACAGCTGGCCCTGGGGGGTGGCACCACCTTGGGAAGGGGAAGACACAGGCCCCTCCACACACCAGAGGCCCAGTGGCCTGCTGGCAGCTCGCCCCCTGACCCCAGGATGGGTGGGGAGGCTCCGCCAGGACCAGGATTGGGCCCACAGCCACTTTTGTGTTATGGGCTGCCAGAAACATGGGACTGTCTGGGAAGGGCCTGGCCAGCCTGGGGGCCAGTGCGGGGGGGGTGCAGCCGAGGCCACGGTGGGGGGTGGCACAAGCCAGCGGGGACCCAGCACAGGGTGCCAGAAGCCCAGGAAGCCTCCTCCAGTGTTGGATCTGAGAACTGCACCAGGTGCACTTGGGCTCTGTGCTATTGCAGAGTGGGGACGGGTGCTGACTGGCTCAGGGGGGAGTTTGCAGGGTGCTCCCATGCACACCCCAGAGACCCTCAAACCCTTCCTGCAAACCCCACAGTCACACCCTCCTCCAAACACAATCGTGCATCCCACAAATACCATACCTACACACACGCATCTAAAGCTCTCCACAAACCCCACACCCCATGCACTATACAAGAGTAAGACTGCATTTTGAGCTATTATGCAATCACTTCTACATATACAGCACAAACACACACACATTAGGACAAAAGTGTACATTTTTTTTTAAAATATATTATTATGGGTATTTGATTTTTAGTACATAATTTGTTTTTTGTCCAGTTCTAAGATACCAAACCCTCTTGCCCAAAGGAGTACTTCCAGGGCAAAGGTGAGGGACTTCTGGTGGCAAAGGTCAGAGGTTAGGGGTGGGACTTCTGGCTCCAAGATTGTGACCAGGGTGTGGGGCACCTGTCAAGGGGCAGGGCTACCCATGCAGTCCTCAACAGCTTGCCAAAACTCACTAGGCGGCCTGAAATAATTGCCTGCCCCTGAGTTAGACTCTTTGAATCCCTCACCCCCTGTCACTTTTTCCCAGTGCAGTGCCGGGGGGGGGAATTTTAAGATGACCCCCCCATAATTAAATTATATATAGAAAATGATAACAAATGTATACTTTTTCCATGTATAACATCTAATTATGGGGGGTCATCTAAAATTCAGAGTCATCTTGAATTTAGGTAAATATGGTAATATGTTAATGTTTGTAAACTGCTTTAAATATGAAAAGTGCCACGTATTATTGTTTGTTGATGGCCTGTAAAATGTTTTTCCACATTAGAAATGTTTTAAGTATTATGCTATACAAGAGACAAAGATGAGTTTCTTTGCTTCTAGTTGGATTTTTTTCAAAAAGCATTGATTTTATTAAAGATAATTCATGTAAATCCTACTGAGGGTGAAAATAAAATGCGGTTCTCAGTAAAACATTTTCCGTGATTTTTTTTTTTTTGTATATATTATGAAGGTAAATTGATACCTCTAAGACTTTTCTTCTCCTAACAAACATATACAGGTATTGAAAACTGAATCACTTTTCCTTTGTAATCTGACCCATCACTGACTCCAGAACAGTCTGCGGTGGAATTAATTGGTACCACGATCAAGTACACATTTTCATCAAATAACAGGGAGGACAAGACCCAGATTGGTTCATCTTTTACCGTGAGTATACAGAATTTGCCACTGAACTCGGTTGCTAGTCTCACTACTGAAGACTACTTATTTGTTGGATCTTAATAAAAAAAATTATGCATCAATTATCAGAGCAAAATCAATCTGTGGCCTGCCCAGATGAGTTCCAGTTTCAAATAAAGAATCAATTTAATTTCTTCATTCATGAAGGGTCATAGAGTAGATGAATAGTCTCATAATTATTAGTGCATAAAAGACGCTTTTAAAAGCTTTAATTTGTAGCAAGTTCAAGAAAAATGCACGCAGCACAAAATCCAAAAAGGCATGCATTTTTATTTTTTTAACTGATCTTACCAATTATAATATAAAACAGGTGAAATGGAAAGTAAAATGTTCTTTCATTCTAGCCCTGAACCAATTGTCTGTTTTCCCTGAGGGTATTCTTCATATTAACTTCTGTCTTTTGTATGATTTGCCTTCAACAGTGGTTCCCTTTTCAAAGGGTATTTGGTTTATTTTGTTAGCCTATTAAAACTCAGTGCTGAGATCTCTCAATTAGCTTCCACCATTATAAAACCTGGGTACCCTGGACCTTCACCTTTCTAAAATTCTTATTAGCAAAATTTAACTTCCTTCAATTTCATAGAAGGGATGGGGGTCTATTTATGGAATTGTATTGGAAGGTTTAGATATACATCTTCAGGAACTAAATTATTTTCTAGAAGCACTGAAAAAAATATTCCTTAATTTATTTGATGAAATAATGCTGAGGAATGTAAGGCACATGGGCTGAGAGCATTGACTCCATAGAAATTCACGTACATCTATGTACACTGTCAGTCTATTTTGTGATTAATCAGCTGAGCAATAACAGCTGACCAGAAGTCAGGGTGTGTGGCAATGACCAGGATAGCAGGGAAGAAATTGGTCATAAAGGCACAATATCCTGAAGGAGCATGTTTAGAACCTATTCAGTTGTGGCCAGGTGATAGAGCACAGCTCGGGATCCACCAGGCACTAGTAGTATCAAAGCATCATCTTAGTTGTCTGTCAAGCAATGCATAGTGATACGCAAGGAAAAAGTGGTATGTCACACCTTTTCAAAGCCCCCAACATAGTAAGTTGTTGATTTCAATCAAATGTGTATCACACTTAGGCAAGTGGAAAATTTGTCATCAAAGTGTTTTTTGGGGGGTTTTTTGTTTTTGTTTTTTAAAGAAAATTGGGTTTTCAATACCATGTTTTTTCCAAACAAGGTGCCTGATTTTTTTTTTTTTTTTTTTTTTTTTTTTTTTTTTCTCACAAGTGTTAGATGTTTCATTTGGAAAAAATGACTGTTTTCCGAACAGCTGTAATCAACATGTTAAAACTAAACCTGGGTTTTGTCCAGCATGTGGATGTTGAATCTGTATCTCTTACCATTGGGCAAGTTTTTAAATACTTTGCTCTTGTAAAAGTGTAACTGCATAGTGGAACTGTAATCTCACTTGTGTAAGACGTGGCAAAGCAAATATTAATGTGTCTTTTGACAATTTATCAGTTACTAATCAGACTTTTCATCTGAATCTAAATGTAGTCATTTTAAAAGTTGGGTGTAACACTTGATGAAAGTGGGGGGGGGGAAATGCTAGCAATACTGTCTGAACTAAGATCAGAAGAAATGGCCTTAAGGAAAAAGTGGATGATGTAGCTGCAGGGTCATCTTCTGTTTTAGTTTAAACCAAAGTAGTGGAACACACAAATGTGCTTTAGAAAGGGTAGTGGGCAAAGAGAGGAGAAACATGTTTTAACTTAACATTGTCAAGATATATTCTTGGAAGATATAAATACATTTTTAACAACTTTAATTAAAGAACAAGGTGAAAAGATTCATTGAACATAATAGTCAAATACCTGAGAAGTTTCTGGTTTAATTTGTTTTCTTTTTTCCTGGTTCCAGTATTTTTATGCTATCTATTGGATCAGATAATTGAAGTGATTGAATCTTGAATTTACCAACTGGATATTATTAGGCCAATTTTTATATATTGCCTTTTAAGTAATGATCTATTGGTTTCAACTGCTTTAAAAATAATATACAGGGTATTGTTAAAGGTAAAATTACTCTGGTCCTGAAAGGTGTATTGATATGAAAGGGATGATTTAAATTGTTCAAACAGGAAAAATGGAATAACTCAAGATCACTGATCTTTTCAAGTCCAAGCCACTACTATAAATTCAGCTTAAATCAAAATTCATTAAGAGACAGTTGATGTAGTATATGAAACTAATTTGGTACACTCAGTACAGTTCCTAATTATCTGTCTACGGCAAAGACATAACCATTATAGTTGGTACTAGTTGTCACTCTCATTAAGTTTGATAGGAGAAGCCAAAGATGAAATCTGATTGGAGACTGAATGACCCTTGTTCCCTGAAGCTGGCTTTCGGAACATGATGGTTTACAATGATGGAATTAGGTTAGAAGCCATGGACCAGTGTATCAGGGTCATAATTTTGGTCAAGGGTCTGTGAACGGATCTCGCAGGATGCTGTAGTTGCCACAGGGATTAGGGAACAAAAGGGATTATTATTGGTATTGGAGCTAATTTTTGGCCCTGAGGGCAGGAACAGATAAACGAAGGGAAGATGCCTAAGGGATCTCAGTGCACAGTGAAGGAAGCAGTTTTGCGCAAGTTGGCAAAAATGAAGTAATAAGATTCAAACTTATTCAAGAGGACAAGGCAATCTCCAGTTTCATTTCTGCCTGCTTTCTGACGATCAGAACAGAAGAAAAGGAAAAATGCATCCCTCATTAAGAACTTGGATCTTCAGCTAGACCTTCCCAAGGTGAGATATATATTTTCATCCTGATGTATAGATCTGACCCCAAAACTTCAGCCTGCTCCTAGATGGCAGAGAAGGAAAAAAAGTAACACTTGTCATTTTCTTTTCTGTAAAATGCTCAGATACTATGTTGATGGGGATTATATAAGACACATACAGGTGTTCTGTAGTGGGGAAACTTAGTATTTTTAGAATGGTTAGTTCAAAAATCAATTTGGAAATGCTGTTCCATGATCATGGAACATCTCCAACTGCAAATCTTAAAGTCAAAATCTACCATCCATGGTTTTGCATTGGCCATGCAAGTCCTCTTTGTGAAGGCTGTGCAATATTCTTGCTGTAGCACAGCTCTTCCTTCATCTGTAGTTATAATAGCAATAGGTTAAAATCCTGTTTCCTAACATGTAGGCTTCTCCTTTCAGGTCTCTTTCCACTCTGTTAAGTTCTCATTTGGCAAACATTTATGAAAAAAGGATAAGTGTGAAGGTAAAGTATGTGTGAAAACACTTGCAGAATCCGTGCCTTTCTCTGCATATCTACAGCCACGTCTACAGTGCAGCTCCAGCACATGTAATCATATGCGAACTAACTTAAGTCTAGGTGTTGGTGAAGTCAGTTTGACACTGGCTTCAGGGGAGGCTGAATAACCCTGCCTGGGACCCAGATACATACACCACAGCTTCATTGTGATCAGGACCCAAATACATACATGGCAGTCACAGTTTTGTTGCTATCATTACCAAAACTAGCCATGCTATATGCCCGCTTCCAGCTCTAATGTGGGCATAGCTTAAGACTTCCAGTGAAGAGTTAACTTGGAGAGTTTCAGAAGTCTTTGTTTTGTTTTGTTTCAGGAAATTTTACAATAATAAATCTTGCCACTTAAGCTTGTGCTTTGCCAAAACCAAAGTTATATTGGCCTTGATGGTGGAACTTCTGTACACCTAAGATTTTACTGTTGTTGCACATACTTAGAAGGACCTACCAACTACCCTTAACTGCTTCACTTAGGCAAAGCTGTGCCTGGGACTGACCCTTAACATCAGAAAAATTAAAGATGCTTCACCAACCTGCTCCAAGCCAGTTAACTACTCTGGCAAAGATCCTCTTTGAGAGAGAGGAGCTGGAGAATGTTGAAGACTTTGCATACCTTAGCAGTGATCTCTTAAAGCAGGCCAACATTGCCAAGGATCTGATGTGCCAGCTCTGCCTTTGGAAGACTATATCATTGTGTGTTCAATGATCACAACATCAGGACTCAAACAAAGTTCCTATTATATAAGGCTGTGGTAAGCCCAACTCTCCTCTATGGCTGTGAAGCTTGGGTGACCTACAGGGACCACCTGAAATGCCTGCACTAGCTCTGGAAGATCGTTGGCAGAAAGTGGGAGGATTGTCATACAAATGCCAGTGTTCTTACCAATGCTAACACAACCAGCATGGAAGTGTTGATTATTCAGCATCAGCTGGGGTGGACAAAGTATTGTGTGCTCTAACATACATTTACCAAAACATCTGCTATAGTCTCAACTCGGCCAAGGACAAAGAACATGTAGGAGGCCAGAGGAAACATGTCAAGGACACTCTCAAGGAAAATATTAAGAAGTGTGGCACTGACATCACACAATTGTGAAAAACAAACCCAGGACAGGGCTACATGGTGATGCCTTGTGAGCAAAAGTTTTCTTCCAAGTAAGATGTACCATCTCACCCTGGAGACAGAAAAATGACAGAAATGAAAAGAAAGAAAACAAGACCAAGAAATCTGTGGTTTGACCCTCCTTTAGCCACCACCTTGGCATGTGCCAAATGGTCAGGGACTCTAGGATCAGCCTTCTTAGCCTTTGGTGGACTCGTCTCCAATCCTTTTCTTGACCTGTGAGAGTGATCATTCTTGATTGTGAGGGAACGCTGCCACCACTGCCAATTACTTCAGCTTGTAATAAGCTCTCTCGCCCTTGTATAACCCTTTTCTGTGAAAGGGAAAACAAGAATAAAAATAATATAAATTTTTTAATGTTTCTTTTCCCTAATTATTCAGTTTATTCTCTCAAAAGATCTTAATTAGTTGATTTAGGATTATTTTTTGCTACATATGTGTATACTCAATTTTTGCTGTGATTAACTCTAGTGTATCATTAATTTGTACATTTGAAACATTTTTAAAAACTGTTTTTAGCATTAGTTGATACTAATAAAATAGGGGCTCAATCTCCACCCTGAATTTCTCTCACAGAAATAAAATGAACATAAAATACCTTTTTAATGGAAAAACCAGGAAAGAACCATCATTATTATCACTATTATAAATCTAACTTTGACACAATATGTAAAGCATGGAAGTTTATTATATCTATTCATTATATACATTTTATGAAATTGGTAAAAATATTTTAAATGTTTAGAGACACAAATACTTATATTTAATAACTCTTCATCAATATCTACTACATTCAAAGAAAAGGGTATGTATATATAACAGATGTCAGATCCTTTACTTAAACTGGTTGTGAGCTCCACTTACTATTGATCTACTACTGGATGGTGGTGCTTTGTTAAAGCCTGAATGTGCTTTCTTGATACACTGAAAATTTTAGATTTTGAATAAAATTCTTACGCACTGAACTAACTTAAGCAAAACATGTTTCAAAGGTATTAATACTGCCAATAGATATAAGATAATGAGGTGCTGAGTATAAAAAAAATACACATTTTTAAAAATATAAAATATATTCTCTCCCAAAGCTGCATACATGAGTTGATAGTGAAATTGTCATAGAATCATGACAAGTATATTAGGGATGTTATCCCTTTGAAGTCAATGGAGAACTTGCTTGCTTTCAAAATGGCCACTGACGAGTGTTTGCTCAGAGCTCTGAAAGCTTCTCCCTCTTTTGTGTGCCTTTCTCCTTCTCATTTTGTTTTCCCTCCCCTAGACAGTCTGAACCCTTTCCCACTTTAGTCCCCCACTCTTCATTACTTTTCCCTGCCTTTCTCCCCCTTTTTTTTTTCAGCCCTTCTCCTGCAGTAACCCTCTGTCCCTCCTATCCCCCTCCCTCAGGTTGGTTTTTGTCTTCCCTCCCTCTCCCTGCAGCTTTTCTGCTGCTTATTGTTTTCCCTTCCCTTCCTTGTACATTGCTTACCTTTCTCCTCTCCCCTGGGCTTACTTTGTTTACTTGTTTCCAGTTTCTTTGTTCCTGCTGGTGGAGGGCTACCCATCCTCCACCCCTCTGGTTCCTTGCAGGGTTAACCCTTTTTTTTTTTTTTTTTTTTTTGCTGGACTGGCGGAAGGCTGCTCCCAGCAGTTCACTGTTGGGGCTTCAGCCCCTCTGGACCAGAGCTTTGCTCTCTGGCTTCATGCCCCTCCCTCCACTGGAGTGGAGGAGTATGCTACTGCTATGGGGGCACTCATAGGCTGCAAACTTGTCCTCTGTGCTGCCTAAGTTAGTTCAGTCTCCATCATCTTCCTCGGCTCCCCTGCTTTAGTGCATGAGGTTGTGGTAGCAAGTGTGTCGGTCATGGGTGTTTTTTGCCTTGCAACACCTCTAGACACACCAGCTGTTTGTGTGGTAGCCTCGAATGTGCATCCATTTCTCTCAGACGACGACCTCACTAACTCCCTGCACCCTTATGGCATGGTTACAGGGCCAGGCAATAGATGACTGCTTGGCAGCAAGGTCCCTGAGCTCTGGCATGTCCTGTCCTTTAAAAAGTAGCAGTTCATGCTGCTAACAGGGATGTTCAAGGCAGCGGTACAAGGTCTATCTCACTATTGGGGACACTTCATGTTTTCTCTGTGGTAGCAGGTCCCACCTGGCTACCCAGTGCCTGAAGAAGAAGCCAGCCGCAGCAGTCTCCTGTGGCTATGCCTGATAGTGGCTCATCCACCTCTGGTGTGGCAGCTCTGTCAGGTGGTGGGGAAGGGCCTTCCTCCTAGTTGCTCCATCCACTTCATCGGCATCAGCTACCTCTGTGGCAGTGGACCTGCTCCCCCTTTCCTCCCCCTTGAGGGGATGATTTAGCTCCTCCTGGTGGGAGGGGCAAGTCCCAGAAAAAAGGGGTCTTCTAAAAAGGCTTTGTTGTCCCCTCAAGACCTCCCCATCACTTCAAGGGGAGCTGAGGTTATTGAGCAGGGTCTCCCTTCTATGCCTGCCTCCTCAGCATGCCCCAACAGACCCTGTAGTGCTCGAGGGTGACCTGGGAACAGGGGAGGTGGTGGGGGAGTCCGACAGCCCTCCTCCCACCTCAGATCCTTAAGCCTGATGAGGTCAACATGGAGGTTGGACCTTCTGGGAGCCACAAGCAGCTCCAGGAGCAAGAGTGCCAAGCCCACAAGAGCACCCCACCCAAGAGATCAGGGACTGAAGTCTCCCCACCCCCCCCCCACAGGACCCCTCAGGTGATGCTGCTTCCACAAGGCCTGAGGCTGAGTCCATGGTGAGGGGTCAAATGCTCCCCCAGGGGCTCAATGACTGTCAGTATGTGACATGTACAGCTCCTCCTCCTTGGAGATGGACTTTGATTCTGCCTCTGAGGATGAGTTGACAGAAGACCTCCCTCAAGAGGTAACATCCCCCGATTTAACTAAGGTGCCCCCCTCAATAGGGAGTGCCCCCACTCCAGAGTTGGAACCTGTTCCAGCTTCTGAGGAACTTCCCTATGCTGGTTACTCTGTTGAACACCTCATTGAGTTTCTAGACCAAACCAAGCACCATGGGAGGGTTGCACAGCATGTATGTAAATGGTTCCCAGAAGCTGAGGCATTTTGTGATATCCACTAAGGCTGCAGCAGCAGTGCTGCACTCCAATCCAGGGACGCAGCGTTATAATTTTTGCCTTAGCAAGCTTGTGGGTGATGTTGTGTGCTTGTTATGAGAGGTGCCAGATGGGTAGTTGTAGGCCCAGTCTTTCCCTGTCCTGCATGTTTGATCCTCTCTTGCTTCTTTCTCCATTTAGTTGGCTTTGCCTGTCTCCCTTTTTACACCCTTCACACATGGCTGCCACAGCCTTTGGTTCTCTTAATGCCAATCGCTGCGGAGACCCTGTGAAGCAGAAAGCACTCTTTGATTTCCTGCACCAGAAAAGGCTGGTCATCGCCTTTCTGCAAGAAACACACACCAACACAGCTAATCAAGCCAATTGATATGCCGCCTGGAAATGCCACAGTTTCATGAGTCATAGTACCTCCCTCAGCACAGGGATCATGATCCTTCTATCACCACAGCTGATACCTGACTCAGCAATAGCCCAAGAGGTCATCCCTGGCCATCTGCTCACCATCTGTATCCTGTTGCACAACATTGCCTCTTCTGAATGAACATCTATGCACCCACTGCTGGACAAGAATGGATTGCCTTCTTTGAGACCCTGGTTGACTTCTTGTACAGCATAACTAATGGTGATGACCTTCTCCTCCTGGGCAGGGACTTTAATTGCACAGTCAATGTATGTCTTGACTGGAATGGGCTGGAGCCCCATTCATCCTCGGCCCAAAAGCTGTGGACCGGTTTGGAGGCAGCAGACCTTGTTGATGCACCATCTCCATGCCAATGCGAGGCAGTATACCTGGCTGAAGACGACCGCCAATGGGTTCTCCATGGCATACCTTGTCTGCTTGTATGTTACCAGGCACCACCTACCACTCCTACACAGCAGCTGCATTATCCCAGCAGAACTATCAGATCACAGCCTGGTCTCTTGTGTCCTGAGCCCACCTAGCAGGACACATATCCAGGCACCCTACTGGTACCTCAACACTAGTCTGTTGCAAGACGCTCACTTCCATGACTGCTTTGCTCACTTCTGGCAAACGTGATAGGCTGCAAGAGCCACCTGGAAGCAGTGATGGGAATCGGAAAGATACAGATTAGAGTTTTCTGTCAGCAGTACACAGTTGGCAACAGGTGAGATCTGCTACCATGTTCTGAAGTTGGAAGAGGACGTAGTGCAGCTTGAGGTGCCCCTGCATGATGCTGGCAATGATGCAGGGCTGCTTGAGAGTCTTAAGCTCCGCAAGCAACATCTGCGGGAGCTGGCAGAGAGTGCAACCCAAGGTGCAAGTGTTCATGTCTGCTACCAAGAACTGGCAGAGACTGATGCCCCAACTCGCTTCTTCAGCCTTGAGAAATGATGAGCTACATGGAAGGTCATTGACCATCTTAAGACCCCAGACAGCCAAACACTCACAGATCCTGTTGAGATCTGATGCCATGCCATCGCCTTCTACCAGGAAATGTTTTCAG